TATACCGTAATTCTATTGCGACCCTCATGTATTCGCAACCTTGCGTGGCATCAGTTTTGAAGTCCCGAACCGTTTTGCCACCCGCCTACGCCACACTAACTCTCCCCAAGATCACGCCAAAACAAAGGACGAATCAACACGGCCACAGTGCACGCTGTCGATTCAAGAGCCTGCCGTCAAGTCGCAACCACTCGTAAGCGCTTGGCAAGTTCGGTGGCGGGTGTTCCCTCCTTGTTGACAAACTACGTGAGCAGTTCCGCCAGAGAAAATGGTAAGGGGCTGTTCAGCGGCCTCATCCAAATGCGCGACAACGCCCCCCTTGGTTCGAACATCACCATCCCATCCCAAATACCATCCTTGCACTCCGACGCAGCTCTCCCAAGAACACCCAAAAAAAAAGCAACCAAACACTTCTTTCCATGCCAACAAGACCCAAGATACAAATGAAGCAGGCACGAAAAGAGTGAAGGTTTATCCTTCGGAACAGCAAAGGATCGCCGTACGTATCGGTCTCTGCTCTCAACCTTCGACATCACAGCAGCCCTTCGCTTACAGTCGTCTCGATACCACCTTTCCCGCAAAAATATTCCTGAAATATTCCACAGCACATTCTTCCCGATCTCGTCATTCGTCGTCTTCGCCAGCAGCAACTCCCTTGCACCATCTTTTGTCCGAGAGTCATGATCTCCAATTCTCTTCCGCCAATGGCGCAAGAGCGTCCAAAGATCTCCAGTGTTGCTCTGTCCCCATTCCTTCCCTCCGAAATACTCAGGGCAGCATTGTACTTGTTTAATCATCGATTCCCAGCAGTAGGGTTGGACCAGTATATACTACATGCAATAGCTCAAATAAAAATAAAGGCCTTGCGTGAATGAACCCCGCTCCAATATCACCGCCAAACAGCAGCAGAGGTCCACACGCCACCTTCACATCTCGCTTCAGGGCATCAAATCAAAGGTTTGGTAATCCTTCTCTTCATCCCTCGGAGTCAAGTACCGACAAGTCGCCTTCGGTGAACAATGGGGTCTTGACGAGCAGCATCCGCAGAGGCGCCAGCAACGCGATTAGCACGGGGAAGAGCACTCCGATCGGGCTGCCCTTTACCCACCTGGAACACACGATAAACACGAATCATGGTAGGGACGGCGCATTAACAACAGCCTTAAAAGCAGTTGGTCCTCCGGTTGAAAAAGAGCGAGCGATGACACCTCTTTCAATAGTAAACAACGAGTTCTGGGGCTGTCCAACACTATACTAAAGAACCTGAAACGATCTATATGTAGTTCCTCTTTGCATCTCACGACAAAATCCCGATGCTTGGAAAACTCGAGGGAACTGTGTAAGGCACCGCGTGGTGCTGAGCGCAAAAGACATGAGCCACTGCTTGAACTCATTTTGAGACATAAAGACAGATCCCCGCGCTCGCATCTTCCTCTTCCATAAAAGCGAACACACCAGAAAATAGTAGGCGAGTGCACCCACACGCGAGTGACTTGACTCACATCATGGAACCGAGGCAGGCAAGCTGGATCATCGTGTACATGTTGGTCTTCGACGCGGGTAGCCTAGACCACGGAGCCTGCGCAGCAGCAGGGACAACCATGGCAACGCCAACGGACGTTCAAAAGGCCAAGGGCATGTGAGACACACGGGATACACACTCAAGAGTGCGAGCCCCTGCGCAGTAGAATGCTCATGGTAATGAAAACAACACACGCGTGTGTCAGAGCAAGTGGGCAAATGGGGCACGGAAGAAACACGACGAAAGTTATCACCGTGGAAAAATACCCACGCCAGCAGGAGCGGCAGGGTCACGAGAGTAGGCACGCAAGAAGCGCAGTAACGACAAAAATATGTTGATATAGAACGTCTCTGCGTTTCCAGGCGGTACACCTCAGTACAATCACTGAAAATCGCCGCTACCGCAGACCACAAATGCGGTGATATGGACAAAACCACTTACGGCCTTGGGACGAAGCTTCGGGTCGGTAAAGAGCAACTTGGTCCTGTCCCACATCTCGTTTCCGGCGAGGCCCGTCACACCGAGGTACAGGAACAGGCCAGTCGTCACCGGTAGAGGAATCTGAAGCAGTACAATCACACGAGGGTACAAGGTACAGCGTATGCACCGCAGGACCGACGGCGTGAGCGAGCTTCGAACAGAATGTAGGGCCGGTTGTGAAGGGCACGGAATGGTGGGCCCACCAGCTTGGTGGTCGTATCGGTGTGCATCAAGTTAGTTTCATGGCAAGCCACATGGAGTCACCAAACCGAGAGAGGCCCCTCTCGGGATAACTATATATCAACCCTGGGTTACGCGATGGCAAACAGGCATGTAGTCTAGTCGTGTAAATTCTCCTTGTACTTGGCACCGCACTTGAGCGAAACAAAAATGAACGCATTCACAACGAAAAGAAAACAATTGCGTGTGATCTTGAATCAGCCCAGGATAGTGGCGAACAACGCAAGCCCATAAATGATTGGCAGTGTTGTAGGCACACTTTTTAGAGATAGGCCAACGCAAAAGACGGGGATCGTCGTTGAAACAGACGAGAAACAACCAAAACACGAAGAAAAATATGCACACACCTGGGCGAGCAGGGGGCGGAGCTTGAGGATGGCCACGCCGATCAGGCCGTGGATTGCAATCCCGCTAACCCTGCGTACAAAAAAAGAAGGGACAGTCAACCACACCAGACCAGCGGGTTAGGAACAGGGATGTTCGTGTGATACGGCACGCAGTTCTTGGCACGCGGTTTCATGGTCAACAAACAAACAAGCTTCACGACCGCGTCTGTCTCTTGTGCCTAAGCAAACTGTAATCTATTTGGGGGCGTAAAATAGCCAGACAGGGCGTCATGCACCAGGCCTCAAACTTATCCTCTTTGACTTTGACATACTTCGATCGCCACCGTTTCGCAGGAATGGCCGTCGTGCGTACCTCTGCTCCGCGACGCCTGCAATTCGCTCCCCCCGACCCCAGCCCAGCTGGTCGTACTTGGTGAGGCTCTTCACGTGTGCTAGCGAACGCACAGTTGCGGCCACGAGCCAGGGTAGGCCGAACACGCTGCATGCCGCCGTGAGACCCGCGATGATACCCATGTCCAAGTTCATGCCGTACCTGATTGGTGGAAGTTTTAGCAAGAATGGGGGGAAATCGTGCGTTTGGCAGGGACAAATGTCGTGTGAGCGATCTACTACATTCCACAGCGGGGTGTGAAAGTAATCAGTACGGCCGCATATCAAGAGGGGTTGCGCAATCGAACCTTTCAGCCTCATGTCATGTTGATTCCTTCGGAACGCACACCATGACACCTGACACCATCGCCGATGCCTAGGCGTCTCGACGCCATGCAGACTGCTTTCACGAAACGCAAACCAATCACCCGCGGTTCTGCCCACGCTCACGGTGATACGCAATTTCTCGACCGAGCTCAAACCCCCCTCGAAGCCCTCCATAGTGTTGGCAACACAGCCTTTCAGACACTCTGCAATCAAAAGCTCTCACCCCTTCTTGAGCTTGTGCTGCTTGGCGTTGACCAGGCGCACCGTGATGTTCTGGTCCATGAAGAGCAGCACCGTGCTCATGAGGGCAGGGAAGAACGCCGCCCAGCGAGCCCACACGGGGAGGGTCATGAAGGGCACCAGCCATGGGCGACCGACAGTGGTGGTCAGCGCCGAGGGTACAGTAAGCGTGGGGAGAGCAAGGGCGTACCTGCGGGCAGGGGGCATCGGCACACGGTGATAGATAGTGGTGGCGAGAGGCAAGAACACGGTTAGGTTCGTAGCGTTTTCAAGAAAAGGAGAGGGTTTGCGTAGCGTCCTTGACAAACCGCGACAGATTGTCCGGGATGGAAAACAACACGAAAATTGTACCGGCGAGGAGGATGGACGAAACGACGGCGGCAGCAGCAGCAGCAGCAGCAACATGCTTTCCACAACGGACGGATGTGGCTCATTGAAGAGCTCACGCTGCGGGAGCGTACGAGAACGTGATGTCTCGGCTGATACTTCCAGCACTTTGACAGACTGCGGAACCGCCTTCTTGAGCCAGGATGAACATTACATTGTCACAAACTGCCGCACAGCTACACCAACAGCCCTCGTCGCACAACCGCGCGCAGTTGATAAAACAGTAAACCACACCAAGAATCGCACTACGAAAAAGAATTGGAGGACACGGTATTCTATTATGTTATCTCGCCTGCTCTTGCCCCACATAGCAGCCAAGGTTCCCGTTGCCACACCAAGCGTAGGCGCGAAGTCAGCTATGAACTCGCGGATGGGCTTGTTGAGGAATTGGGTCCTGTCAAAGTCGCAATCGACGTGAGAGTCCATGTCAACGTTAACGTTTAACAACGGGGTTTCGATCTTGGGCAAAAGGTCAAAACAAGCAGTGAAATCAAACAGGTTCATGGCGGTCCGAGACCGAAGTTTCTCTTCGTTTTTCGTCTCTAATTCTGGGAGCTATGTAGTCCACATCTCCACCGTTAGGTATTGGATGATTGACGCACCAGCCGCGGTCACACAGGATGAAGGCCTTTTTCTGCCTTTTTCTGCACCACTCTCCGCCGTGCATGTTAGCCGCGAAAATATGAACGCCAGAAGGAGTCAACAGCAGTGCCTTCCCTAGGGGTTCGAGCCCAAACTCGACAACAGTCTACAACAAACGCACAAGGTAAAACGTGGCGGAGAGAAACGAACGGCTGCCTTCCCGCACACCCAATCGCTCGCAAAACATGTCCGTAACTCCCGTGTGTACTGATACACCAATTAAGCGCTGGTATGTACGATGATGCATTGGAGGCAGACGGCACGAACAACGCCAACTCTAACCTGCGCAGCGACTTGAGGATGGTGGCGACGCCGTAGGTAGACAGAGCCACGACCAGGGTGGAAGTGGCCGCCACGAGAGGAACTCCCGCCGAAGCGAAAACGCCTGTGCGGGGTTTCGACAACCGAGTTGAGACGTCAAGATGCGATGAGTAAAGATGCTCAAAAACTTGTTGAGGCACGCCAGTCTCTTATCCTTGGCCGAAACGGCACATGGAGCAAAGGCGCGGCGATAGCACGCAACCCACTGGTACGGTGCAACTTGAAAATAGTGTCGAACAAAGCAGTCCGAAGAGAGCAAGCACACTTATATTTAAAAGTGGAATGTTTCTCAGGCAGGACCAGGTCAACGATACAGAACGCCGAGCGTGGACAAGAAACAACAACAAACATTAACACCCCCCCGTGTCTTCGAGAGCATGCAAGTAATTATCGTGTCTTGTGATCTGAATGCATGACATCTTGTCTTGACGATGTTTGTGCGTCATGGTGCATCTTGTCCATCTATCTACATTTGCAGCGTTTTGGAGGTGTAAATGCACCCCCCCCCCGCCCCCGCGACACGCAATCTTGGGAGAAATGCGTCCTACATAGAATAAATACCATGCTAGATAACTTATTGGAAACGTCCAACTGCGCACCTGTGATGTCCTTCGTGGCCTCCATGATGAAGATGACGGAGATCAAGAGCGAGAAGATCTCGTCAGTGAAGCGCGTGAAGAACAGCACCATGTTCGACAGGGAGAACGCGCTGCGATGCGATTTATGCGACAAGCGAAAAAAGGGACAGAGGGTCAGGCAAGTAGGTTCGATCAGTACAGGGGGCGGAGTGGGCGCAGGGGTGTGTGGGAGAAATTACCCTTAAAGCCTTAAATCAGGCGGAAAAACTAAACCTCGGTCTGTATACTATCGATAGCCGAAGTTTCAACAATTAGCCTCCACACAAGGTGACAGGTTGACGTAAATAGCTACAGATTGCAACAGGGCACTGACAGTTTTACATCACTTGTGCAGCATAAATGTACACGTGCACCATATATTCGGGCGTGTTGTTTGGACGCACCAGCCGGGGTCACGCAGGAGCCATTCTGTGTTCTCCACCTTACTTTTGCGGTCAGTGCCGTTATTTCATATCGAGAACAATTCAGCAGTTCTACTGCCAGTGTTGCGTCCTCACGAATTCGCTGTCCACACCTCCTTGGGATAAAACACAGTACGTGAAAAGCCTTACTTCATCAGACTGCATCGACCATAGAACTCATGCCCAGACGTAGGATCGTTGAGAGGTAAGGGTACCAACAGGACATCTGGGGCGACCAGCGATGACTTCCGGTTTTCGCTGTTGTTGAGCGAAGGTTATGGACATGAGATGCCTCCGCAGAGACAACCATCTAAACCACTGGCGTGCCGAAGCATACGCTGGAGATATCTCGCGGTAGAGTATCATGGACGAAGAAGTCTACGGCAACACCCGCCGGAGGAACGTACGGAGGGAAACAAAGCAGCAAGAAGAGGTACACAAAAACGCCAACTTTTCAGGTGCACTCTACAGCAGTATCCTGGGCGAATCCTATGCTGGGTGATATACCGCGCACCGTACCTTGCAACTCCGAGCATCCCAGCCGTCCAGAATCCCACCCACGTGTACAGCGGCAAGAAGGGCAGACTCTGCACAAAGACAAGACAGAGAGAGAGACAGAAAGCGAGACCGACAGAGAGACAGACAGCGTGTAAGACCCGGGCGCGGGGGCGGGCAGGAGACACGCCAATGTCGCACGACAACATCAAACGACAACGTCACACGAAATCGTCACGGCAAGACGAGCCGTGCCGTGCCATGCCATGCCATCACAGGACCTCTAAACTGTTCCGACATGATTCCATCGTACTTGAAGAAGTGTACCCATGTTCCTCTTGAGAACTGCACATATTTCGTGAATCAGAACTGCACAACGAAGTACAGACGGCTACAGCAGCAGACCAGCATGCGCGTCGAGGCAACGCAGCGCGTGATCTCCTTGAATGTGATGACAACATGACGAGCACAAAGCAACCTCACAGCTTGAGCATTAAACGGTTAGTCAGCATTAAACGGCTCAGCCAAGGTCTTCGTACATGTAACGCACAGCAACAACAACTGATAACAATCGATAACGACTCCGTTCAGATCCATTCAAGAGAGGAAAGGAGGTGGTTAATTTTTTTCCAAAGTTAAAAATTGCCCCTCACCATCCTAGCAGCGGTCTTGTAGAGGACGGCGATGAAGGCCAGAACAGGTCCGGTGCTGCCGATGATGGTCAGAGGTTGCCCGGCGAGGGCGGCGTACACCATGCCGCACACGGCTGTGGCGGCGATCATCTGTTGCAACAAAATCAACGCACAGTGGCGACGGATGACAAATCAGTGAGCATTTCCGACAACCCGTGCGCAAGTCGGGTTGACTCGGCGCTACCCACAACGCTAGCCAATCGCCACATGTTTCCATCCACATTACCACTAAAGACATACACAACTCCACGTATTTCACACCACTCCAAACCATAGTGGTCAGAGCGAACATCTCGTGAGGTAGGTAAGTAGGCACGGTAGTCAAAAGCGAACAACGAGCACCATTCTTCCTCGGTTTCAAGTATAAATAACAACCTCCTCCTCTTCCCCACTGTCGAACCCCCACCTACGCCACTGACCGTGACGGATACCTACAACCTCCGAGCTGCAGTTCATACTGTTGTCACGGAACGACAACACATGAAAGCTCAACGACTGTGCGATGAGACGACAGCAGCACAACCCGACGTGGGGGCGCACTCGCCTCGATGGTGCCCATTGCACCAGCGGTGGCGACGCCGAGCATGCCTCCGAACGCCACAGCCGGGGCCAGGCAGGCGAAGAACAGGAAGAAGATCGTCGACAGCACCTGTAGAAAGACATGCATCAGATGGATAGTCTTCGGAGTCGTCGGTGCAACAACCTACCTACCATCAGTCAACTACTGACGACGCCTCCACATCAGTGCTAGTGCTAGTGCTGGTTGGCCTTATCGTTATCACCGCCGTGTTCTCTGGGAAGAATGACGGGTCTTGTGTTTTGTCTTGTTCAGACCATACCGCAGTGCTTCACACAACATCGCGCCAAGACTACCCGTTCGAGACCATCGTCATAGGGCATGTATGCAAGTCTTAGCCTTTACAGTGCGAGAGACACCTGCTGGACACTGGACTTCCTTGGTTGAGTCTGCGCCAGTGACGCTAGTACCGAAATAAACAAATACTTGTACAAAGTGACCCACGAGTCTTCTCCTACTGGTGAAGCTAAATACGCATGATGACTTGATACCATGTCCTTACCTTGATGCTGAAGCCGTCGGTGATGTCGGACTTGAGGAAGGGGGCCTTGCCCTTAATATCCGCGAGGAGTCCCTTGCCGAAGCCTTCCACGAGTTTGATTTTCGGCTTGTTTATATAGCTCTGTACCGACGGGGTTGGAGTGCGGGGCTGCGCGGGGGGCACCGCCTTCGTAGAGCAGAAAGACAAGACAGACAGGTATTGTACATCATGTGACCGGGGATGAGCACGCCGAAACGAACAACAGCACCGTGGCGTTATAATCCAACACTATAATAGGTTGATAGTTCTATCGAAGGGCACCAGGAGGGCATGAGACGACATGACTAGCTATGCCAGTCGTCTGTGGAAGCCCCATTATCAGGAACATGATCTTAAAGTGTAGTTGCTGTATGGATTCAGTTGCCGGGCCCAATTATGATACGAACCACGATTTTTTTGCAGCGGCAACCATGGAGCAACAGCATTCAGTCACGGCAACAAAACGGCAAAGTACCGTCAGCCTGAACTAGCAAACTTGTGACCTTTCCTTCCTCACCTCGACCTTGAATTCTTCTTCTTTTATCTCGTTCACGAGCCCCTCGACAAGGCCTCCCACGTCTACATCCGAGGAAGCCGCCTTCGAAGCGAAGTTGTCGTTCTGGGAGCGAGGCGCCCCCGATGCGGATGCAGTCTGACAGACACACACACACACAGAGAGAGAGAGAGAGAGAGAGAGAGAGAGAGAGAGAGAAGAGAGATTTACACGTCGTCCCAAGAGCGCAGAGCGAACCAGAAACGATACAATTACAAGAGAGCAATGAGGAACACCCGGTTGATGATGCAATCGAAAAGTGATATATACGGCAAACACATGCAGTGTCAACTCAAACGTATGCGACGGACCTCCCACAACAGAAACTCTCGCCCGCTGGGCATTCTCGACCGGCGAAGAACACGCACAACACTTATACAATGTACACCAATCAGGGGCACGAGGGACGAAGAGAGAGGAGTCTACAGTAGAGCGGCTTCTACGACACCAGACACTATCACACATTAGGGAGCTTGGGCAGCGAGCGGAGCACACAAGCACCGAGGTTTCCTGACAACAGCCTGCTACTGCCCAGCTACATACTCTCGGCAAACAAACACCACCAATCAATATCACACCTGTGCCAAGGGTCTTGAAGAGCGAGCGCCTCGCTGCTCCACGCTCCATGCCACCTTGCTGTACGACCTCCCAGTGGGAGCCTCTTCGTCCCTCAGAAGAGGGGACGACGAAACGGGGCTCCCCGCCCCGAGACCCGCCGAAAAGTTCTCGCGTCTGTCCGACCAGGTCCAGGCCGCCTTCTCGTACTTGAGCTTTGTTCGCTGGTCTTGCTTCCTCTCGCCCCCGCCGCCGGCGTGGGGGGACAATAACGAGGGGCCCGTCTCCGGGGCGGCTGCGTCCGCAGCGCGTCGGTTGTGTACCCCTGTCCAGGCGACCTTGCCGTAGAACGGTTTTGGTCGCGACTCGTCCTCCCGAAGTCGGGATGACATCGACACCTACGTGTATAGGAGAGCAGCGATTGGGAAAAGGTTGTTGCTCTTGACCGAACTAATATTAAATACACAGCCCGTCGGTGCGCGCGCCAGGCGAAGAACACTATTCGCACACACATGTTCCAGACAGGAGTGTCGTCGCAAACGTTCGAGCTAATGTCTAGTCAAGGTAAGGTATGTCGCCGTCGTCTCCTACATGCATGACAAAGCCTAACTGCAACATCTCACTGCGGTCGCTGGAAGTGCACAAACGCAAAAAAAAATAACGCGTGTTGTTCGGGCGCGACCATTGGAATATGCGCTCTCCACGGGCTTGTTTATTCCACATGCTGAATGTTGGCGACATTCGATGACGGCAACTGACAAAGTGGGTGGTGTTTTTTTTTTGCTGGCTCATACAAGTACAGAGAGATCGCTCGGGGGTACTGCTGAGGGTGAGGCACAATGCTGGAACCGAGCATGTTAGCCTGATTCTCAAGTCTTAAACCTGGCTGCGTCACCATCAATGTATCGTAACAAAATCTTCCTTCGTGGTAGGGCCGGTTCGTGCACTTGTTAGAACCAAGCATGGTGCAACCTGGACTAGTTTCAGGCGACCCTCCAACATGAATACTACAGTAGTGGCGGAGAAAAACGGCGACGTAAGGGGTCATCGACAACGCAAAATACTCGTACTTGTACGACAGACACTGCAAGGACAGACACTTGATCCACTTCGAGTGCATGGGGCGCACCTCGCCGACCGCAGCCTCCTTAGAACGCTGGTTTTGGTCTGCTCCGCTCCAGGCAGCCTTGCCGTAAGCTCCCGTGTTTCCCTCTTTATCGTCGTTGCGCAGTCGGGAGGACATCGACACAGGACCCAATCCCCTAACCGCCGTTCGGGTGGAGCCTGCGGGTACCGTGTTTTTACACGCATCGTACATTTACGATAGTGAGTCTGGGAGCGAGGCGGGTGTACGTGTATCGAGTGCAGAGTAGCTGTGCTTTTATCTCTTCGGTGGAAACGAGGGGGAATCGAGGGTGAGTCGGGTAGATGGCCGCAGAGGTGGTAACAACGATGGGGTACAGTAGCGCGGTGTGAGTTGGGGGTGTCCGTTTCCTACCAACGCAAAAACAGCAAGAAGGGTGTGGCGCTGCTACAAAAAAATCCCACCGTCAATAACGGAAGGGTCGTTGTCTACTGGAACAGCAGCAGCACCACAGCTGGTACGGGATAAAGCTCAAGAGAATTGTCGGCAAACACCCCACAAGGGCGAGAACGGAAACAATAATGTTGAGGCCCGCCTGAAACTGTTTTCGTGCCTTGCTCACGCACATGGGGTGACAAGAGAGACGTGCCTCGTCTTTCGGGAAAGGGCTACTTTTGTACAACGGATCATTGACCGCAAGCACGGAGACAGGTTGTTCCAGGCGAAGCCCCATGCCCCCCCCCCTACACCATTTCATCAGGCACCCAGGGATTGCGATAAATCTTCTGATATCGGTTTAACCGCAGTCTTGTTTCCGACATAACGCCAACAAGGTAACTAACACTTCGGGGCGGGGGGCTCCAGGAGAGCCGGCATGACCCGAAAAACAATGGCATCAACACGCAAGACGCCCAGATTTCAAGAGCGTCCGACCGCAGAGAGCTGATCCCGATGTTCTATTGTCCAAGTCACCAGGTTGCCTTTGGGTGCGACAAAATGGCGGCGCTGCGTCAATCCAGACACGAACACTTGACTAACGTTTTTTCCCTTTCGACCACTGAAGAGAAGCCCCTTGATCGACGGAGGTAAGTAATAGCAATACATTACACCAGTGAGCGCCCTCTCTTACGTCAGCAGTACCTAAAACAGACACCGCGTGTTATCACCGAAGCAACACCTTACATCGATGCAGCTCGAGTACAGCAGCGAATCGCACCTGTGACCGAAGAACGGACGAAGGAACTTGGTGTCGACAACGAAAACGCCTCTACCATCGGGCACGAAACCGCCAAGGCCATCATGGCCACCGCCGTTCCAAGGGCAGGCCCTGCTGTAGGTGCCTGCGCAACGAAACAGAGCAACCACGGGAGCACATGTAGCTTCTCGAGATGAATCAGGGTTTCATGCCGGTGTGCAACGCCCCGTAAACAGAGAATCCTTCCTGTCTCGGTGATGCCGCACATCGGTGAGCACGCGGCACATGAACAGGATGTGGCGAAACACTAAATAGCTAGAGGTGAAACAGAGTTGTAAATAGAAGCACTTTTCTTTGATTCCGTACAGCCTTTTGAGAAGTATTCACAGCAGCTGTTGCAACGGGTGCGAGAGAACAGCATGGTTGGCTTTGGACCACATGGCGTGTTCCATGAGCAAAGTTAATGGAACGCTTGAAAACAGGTCAGCGGTGCTGGCGTCGTCGCAACCGAGCGCAGCAGGTGGTTGGTAAAAACAAAAAAACAGCAGTGTACCGCATCGTAGGGCAGAGGCCGGAACGCAGAATGTATATCGTAGGGATTCCATACGTCCCTCTCTGGTTCGAACACCAAGCCATCGAAGACCACTACCATGATGCCAATTTTTTGGACTGGTCATGGGTGTTTATCAGCTACCGTCACCCCAGTAAACCTCATGTGGAAGGGGCCGAGAGAGGTACCGGCTTGATTCCCAAGCAACACCAGTTGGTGATTGTACTGCTGTAATGTACCCCGCGGTGTGTTGTGTTTCATGACCTTGAAGGGAAAGGTGGGGTCTGCCCTCCCCCTTTGGAACGGAAACGTAAGCAACGCCGACAGGTATCCATACCTTCAGGGTCAAGACACAGCCAGCACTTTTGGGTGGACACGGGCTAGAGTTGGGCATTGGTGAAAGCGTCAAGACCCTCCAGAGTGGGGCCGGGAGAGGCGGTGCTACATCGACACAGCAAGCAGGCACGTCAAAAAATAAAAAACGTCAACCCAGGCAGCGAGAGCATATTTCCACTTCGAGCCCTTTGAGGCCAAAACAGGGCGGCGCGTTGCTGTCTCCATGCCATCGCGTTGCGGAGCGAACTCTTCGAAAACAGCAGGGACCAGTTCGATTCAAGACAAGCGCCAGCATGTTCTCTCGGCTATCTCTCGTTCGATCACGATGCTGGCTACGTACGAGAGCGTTTTGTGCCTGACAAAAGATGTGCATTTTGGATGTGCATTTTGGATGCACATCTCCTCTGCTGGGTGTTTGACTGACGTACAATGATTGCTCCCGCATTGGTTGAAAAACACGAAAGGGGGTGAGCGCTACCAAAGGGAAGCCGTGTGGAGCACTCGGCGGGAGTCCCAGAACCGGTGCAGAAGACTCTTCTGCTGTATCCCGCACCAAAATTGTCTGCCTCCTCCCGCACAGGCAAGCCGTTGCTTGCAACAAGCGATAGCAGGGTGCCCGGGCAACAAAAACGTACAAACCCGCTACACCTTGCATGATTCCTCGAAAGCTCTCATTCTCTCTCCCTCTCCATCCAAGCTTTGTCTACAGTGGGCTCACCTGTTTAGACATCGCAGTGCTTCACACACCAAGGGTTTGATCTACCAGCAATTGTTCCTGTTTCGCGACTCTCTTTGAAGCCAGCTCTCTCTGCTGCTCACTCCATCTCTCTTGCTCGCTCTGTGGTTTGGTTTGCAGTTGGGCCGGACGAAAAGACCCCTCGCATGTTAAGGGTACCTCGCAATTTTCTTCTGCTGTGCCTCTACATGTCGGTGCTGCTGCGGCCTCCATCTGCCCTGCTGCTGCGCACGCTTTCTCTCTGAGTGCCACAGGGCGACCAGGGAGGAGTGACTGGTGAGTCGCTAGAGATCACATGATACCGTGTCGTTCGCCGTTGGTCTTGTTGGGATGACTGGAAACCTTTGTGTTTTTTTATGCAAGAGGGCGCATGTACCGGGATCTGGCTGCTACAGCAGCAGTAGGTGATCCTTCGCCGGCGCTACAGCCTGTCGGTAGCAGTAGCCTCCAAGATAGTACGAGGTTGCCCGAGAGCAAGGACTACACGGCCTATTAGACTACTCGTCCTATTTTCTCGCTTGTTTTACTATGGCCTCCATGACCGATCATTGATGGACCCTGCTCTCGCCATATATGTTCGGACGATGCAACAGGCAGAGAATGTTGTTTGACCGACTGCAGGCAAGGTGCATGATGTGTCCGTCCACAGCAGGGTATTTGTAGGGCGCCTCAGCTGGAGCATGATCCCATGATCACATGACCACCCCGTTATTACAGAAGAGAACGCCCTTCACGAAGGACATGCTATCCTCTCTCGGGGCTCTGAGCCTGTTGCTTGGGAACATTGCACACTTTGGTACTCTGTGCTCATGTTCAATCGTACCGCCAGTTCTACCACCGCAGACTCAGACACAACAGCCAGGTCGTATAGGTGAACACCTGTAATAGCCTGCTTAGCCTCCAGGCGAGTCACGTCAAAGCAAACGAAGTTGCCCATTTGCTGGTGTGTCCGCCAGTCCTTATTTCACAGAAGTAACCTTGATACTGGAGTTTGAACGTGTTAACCCTACTGCCGTACGCCAAGCCCTCCTCGGCTCCGCCACCACCGTCGTGCTGCTGTGTGGTACATAACACTACATTATGGTTGCGAGCTTCAAGATTGTCGCAAGAAATGAAACCAGGAGAATGCTGTGTTTGAAGAACGGGTGAGGTACAGCAGTACACGTTCCTTCCCCATCACGCGTCCTTTCCTGCGTGAACTGCTTACAAAAGGCACCCACACCTAACCCCTCGCTCCCCCCGGGGATTCCCTCAACGCCTCGGATCACAGACAGAGGAAAGCATGGTGGCGTCAAGACTGTTCCGAACCGCTGGTGCATGCCTGACGATATGCCCCTTCGTGATGTGCGGAGGGGAGCGGGATGGCCGTGTTTTGAGCAGGGTGAGTGTGCGATCGTTGCCTTCTCGGTAGGTGGTACACACCGTACAGCGTGGTTAAAATCCTCAGGTCAGCACCGCCGTAGTGTCACGGCCTGCTGGACTTGACAAGTAGTCGGGGCCGGGGGGGGCGGGCATTGCAAAGAGGTGTTGAAAGTGTGTGGTGCCAGGGCCTCTGTTGTCGAAGCTGGTGACGCTATCAAAGGTTACGTGTTTAAGCCATCGTCCGCGCTCGTGTGGTGTGTGTCCTGTGCGAATCTACTTGTGGTGGAGAAAGCAGCGCATACCTATTTTGCACGCAACATGCAGTATCCACCCGTTCACCGTCGTTCCGCTACTGTATCGTTCCCTCCCCTCTGCAGCAACGCACAAGTTCTCACTCTGCCTGGGTGAGCCTTCCCCCCTCACATATACCCTTTGGTGGATCAGACTCCACCGCAACCACCACCTCCCCGTGGGGGGCAGCACCTAGACCATCAGCGAAAGACGGATCAAGGGTAGCGCAGTCATTACCGTCGCGCAAGAGACGAATCGCGGCCGCGCTCTTCTACTCCCTGCGAGATCGGCGACACGGGCCGGCAGAAGCAGCAGCAGGGGAGACCGTGGTACCAGGCCTACCGTCGATATCTTCTCCCTTTCTAGCTCACCTCGGGGGCGCGGCACACCATGCTCGAGGGCGATGCGCGGGGGGGTTCCAACTGGGTGCGGTGACGGCGGTGCGGTCGCCCGGGGACGGCGGAGGGGCAGCTACGGCGGTGGAGGGTGGAGAGGAGTTAAGGGAGGCTTTCAATGCGGCTTTAGGCGAGGAAGAATTCCTAGGGCTTGATGGTTTTCGGGTGGGTGCCGTTGTTGCTGATGTTGTCAATGCTGTTGTTGTTGGTTTTGTGTCGTTTAGACGGTCGTTGTAGCTGCATGTTTGGGTGATGACAGGATGCCGCTGGTTCTTGCTAGTGCTGGCGATGTTTTCATGGATGCTGCAGTTGCTTCGGAAATACGCTACATAGTTCTTCGAAGCATTAGAGAGGTCCCAGTATCGCATTTTTGGATCGGTATCCATGACCTCTACGCAACGACTCGTCTTGAAATCCGCAGTCTCCAACGCTTTCGTCTCCGATTGGCTGTCGCTGATAGGTAATAGTAGCAAAAGGGGTTTGTCTTTTGCAGTGTTCCCTCATTTTGCCCGCAATCGCCAGGCAGCTGTCAGCCTCTCCTGTCGGAGACCCATTGAACTCGAGCAAAAGAGTTGTGAAGAAGAGCAGCCAGGAAAAAAAAGTGTGAGATGCGACAGACAGAACTTTTCAACCCGGCTTGACAAGCTCGTTGTCAATGCACGGCTGGCCGCAGCAAAAGAAAGAGGTATCCCACGAGCTAGAAGGAGCCGCATCCGCAGAGAAGTACGCCCATCGTTTGCATGTCGTCAGATACCTATAGCTACGAACGCGTCGTTCACACCCGATACTGCTGTACCAGGCTCTCGCGGACGTACGTGAGCTGCTGGAGGATGGCCTCCTGCGAGACTCGGAGGTACTAGCTATTTGGAAGGCGGTACCCAAGGCCGACCCCGCCGGAGACAGGGTAGATTTCGTTGGGTTTTCTCAGGCGTTCGCAAGAGTAGATGCTCTCTTTGAAGAGGAGGAGGAGGAGGGAGGGGAAGAAGGGGTTGCTGAGGCTGGAACCAGCCGTGGTGGGGGAGGGTCAGGAGTTGCGGTGGGACCAGGAGAGACTGAGGCGAGCTTTGTGGAGCTTGTTGGGTCTTCGGAGGGAGTTTTGGATCTGGCCGGCTTGTTGAGGTAAGTTTTGGTGCGATTGTCTTTTTGTGGGAGGGGGAGATGGTAGTGGTGATGCTGGCGCTGTCGATACCGCCATGGCCGCGTTATGGTCAACCGCCGTGCTTCTGCGAAGAAAGTGTCCCTTGCGCGGAATGTGTTTTTTTATGGGTTCATGGGACAAAAAATCAAATTCTTGGGCGTGAAAGGAGGTATGGTGTACCTCGAGTCCGGAAAACGATACCAAACGGAACGTCCTTTTCTCCTGCTGTAGGCAAGCCGTAGTTGGTTGTTGTTGTCATTGCTTTAACTCTGTTGTCGCTGGAGTACATATTTGTAGCATGCTGGCATGATGGTGAGACGCTCGACCCCTATAACAGTTTTGTGCACTGATGTTGTTTGGCGCAGGAGAAACGAGCGCAGTTCAGAAAATCGTCTCCCAAACCTTGATAGACCCACACAGCAGTAGCAAGTTGTCATGCGCCATCACAATAGTGCACCGTCCACAATGCGTTATTTCCTTCGCATACAGAAGAAATGTGGTACGAAGCGATTGTTCTCTACCGCCCGAGATGCATACCTTAGATAGCATAAAATACCATACCCCCTGGACCGATATTCAAAGCTCGATTACTCCACGACGAAGAGCATGCCGAGTTCAAATGACACGTTTTCGGAAAGCTCTCGACGAGGTGGTTCCAACGCTGCCATTCTCGGCTCCGTCACTGTTTTTCCTGCCGAGAAATGGAGCTTTGAAAATCGGCCCAGGGGGGGTGATATCTTCCGCAACATGCGGGAGTCTGAAAGTGGGTCTTACGTCTTACCTAAGACTGATTGGAGGCATGGTCCGCAAACAGCTAGGGGGCCATCAGGGTCTATTTTGCATCCCCCCCTTGACTGTAGAAACATCGCGCGTTGCCCGGTTCTGAACGTTACAGCAAAGGTGGTCTCGTTCAGATAAAAGCGTCTTTGGCGCAGGGATGACCACAGCAATGTGTGTTCAAGTGCGCTTCCCATTTACATTGTTATTTACGCTGTTACCCACAGCACGCTCTGTTGTGTCGCCGGCCTACAATCACGTACGTATGCTTGTGTGTTCGTCTTCTTTTTTTTTTTGCGAAGGTGGAGCGAGCTTACAGAACTGTTTGAGGAGGGCCTGCTCAAACAAGAGGAGGTGGAGCAGATGTGGGAAGGTCTGCCCAAGGTGGCCAACAGGGTGCAAGCGGCGGGGGAGGCGGGCACCGAAGAGGGCATGCTCATCAACCTTTCGGGCTTCTTGGAGTTCGATCGGCAGGTAGAGCAGCAACTGTTACTGCTGTTGGGATCCTTTTGGGAAATTCAGCCGATCGTTGCGCTCGATAGACGCGAAAATATTTTGTACCTGTAAAAGAAAAGGCTTCTGTTACACTAATGCGCTGAAGTGGACGCCAACGTACCCATCCATGCAGCAGCGGATCCCAGCTGCGAGCGCGGAAAAGCTCATGCACACTCCCCGTGCTGTGGTATGTATTTGTAGTAAAATGTCATCGAAACGAAAAGAAACTGATTGGACATCAACAGACGTACTGTAGTGGTACTGACGCTGACACTGACATCGACACTGACGCTGGGGAAGGGAGAACACCACCGTCCGTACAACAGTTTGCTTTCCTACCACGCTGTTGTACTCAAAAGAACCTGTTCTACTTATTCGTTGCGCAATATTGCTACTTGCGTTGATATTGCAAGCATCCCTCCTTAAGTCATTAGTCTTCACAGCGACTTTGTCCTCACGACCAACAAACCGTGTGCGCAACCACCCATGCGTTCATCAATCTTCTCTGTGTGGTCTCAGCTGAGCGATCTGTTTGAAGACGAGGAGGAGAGCGGCACCGGCGCTGCTGACCAAGACCAGCCGCCTACCGCGACATCAACAGCAGCATCAACACCTCCAGCAACCCCCGCCGCCGCAACGCCAGTTGTAGCGGCGGCAGCACCAGCTTCGCCAGAGGCGATGGACCTCGCGGGCAAGGAGGCCGTAGCGGACGAGGGGACTCCTGAGGGTCAGTTCTTGAGGCTTTCTGCGAACACGGAAGGCGTGCTGACCTTGGACGACCTTCTGGGGTGAGTGATGACGGGAGGGGGGGGGGGGGGGTACTCATGTTTTGCATGCCTTAGTTGTTAGACCATTGACCACGGGTCCTCGGTGGGGGAGGAATACAGCGAAGGGAAGCGAAGGAAAACGGGGGGGCGCGGACTTGTGGTTGCCTATTTTGAGACTATGGACGGGGTATGGTTACAGCCAGCCAGCATGTTGCAACATCGTTTCGGTTGGCCTGCAATTTTTTTTTTGAGGGGGGGGGAGGAGCATGGAGCGAGCCTCTCTATGGGTTAGGGTTAGGTGGCCCTCGGTAGCATCACGGCCAAAACAACTAGACAGTGTACCTGGACGTTAAAAAAGTGACAAGAACGTAAGTACCCCTTTTAATGGTATTCCGTTTCATAAGTTGAGCCTACATGTTGGGTGGATGTTTCCAGGGTTTTACTTGAAATTTTTTTGAGGAATCCGCAGACGAAGTGGGCGGAAAGGCCGTGAAGCAGTCAAGATCACGACAAGACGAGAGTGCGTGCCCTTACCACACCAGTCGCTTCTTACCCTTCTAACAATTATTTGGTCAGGTGGACCGAGGTTGCGGAGCTACTGGAAGACGATTTGATGAGTCGCGAGGAAGTGGGCTCCATGTTCGAGTCCTTGCCTAAGACGAAGGGTCGTGGGTCCTCGACCTCTTCTCCTGCCATCGACGTCAAAGGGTTCGTGGAGTTCGCTCGCAAGGTAAACAAGGGGGATCAATCAATTTGTTTGCGGATGTGGAAGGGTGCCCTTGCAGTTGGATCGCGTGTTCGTGAGGCTACTCGAGGGAAAGGACTGCCGAACCCTCGCTTAAGCCACTAGAGGGAGAGGTATGTGACCACGGACGGGATGTCTAAGGGAGTGGCTTACCTACACATTTGAAATCATGGAACTTGGTACATGGAAGTCAAAAATCCTGCTCTGACCGGCCGAGTGCGTCAATTTGTCCTTCTGTGAAGATTGGTGGCCATCGGGGTTAGGGTTAGGGCCGGCCACGTTCGCTGTCCCGTCTCGTTAATTTCAATGAACGGCTTAGTTAATTGCCCAATTCCAGTCTATATGGAACGGAGGTTATCGGTGGCAAAGAGCACGAAGGTGCCTGGAAGTGTTGTGATTCAAGACGTGACGCGAATATGTACGATCATTTGGGCATGTCGTTGCCGCAGCAGTTTAGTTGCCTGCTACAAGGTTCAAGCGATATGTTATATGGGGATTGCCATCGTCGAGTGTCTCAGGTGGAATGAGAAGGTGTCACAGATGCTCATGTCATGTAGCCATTGCTTTGGAGGGAGCAAGAGCACCAAACATGTCTGGTAGCTGCTGTTGACTGCAGCACAAGCACCCCGCCCTACAGTCCTTCCTTACTTACTTCCGTAAACCCGTTTCGACCCATTCTTGCCACGTGACGCCCCGAAATCGCGAAATAGCTCGACGAAACATTCGAGGATTTCGAAGAGGACGGCGAGGAGACATCCTCGACCGATGCATCCGCTAGAAGTGACGGTACTGATGCTTCTGATGGCGCCACGGCGAATGAACAATTGCCGGATATGACTGCGAGTGAGGCGGTGGTGCCGAAGGAAGGCAACGCGGTGGAGGCAAAGGCGCGCCTCCTATCCATGTGCCAGGTAACTGAAAAGCACACCTCGCCCTAGAGAGATGTTTCCACGCGATGCATTAAGTGGTGTTGATGCCCTGGTGCTGACGTTCGAAGTTGGTGCCAGGATTGAAGCGGTCTTGTCTGGTGGTATGGCGTTGTTTGTTTGTTGGTGTGATGCGGTCGGGGTCAATCATACAGACAACAAGCCAAGACGCCGTGCCTCCATGCTTCTGTAGTTTGGTGGCCGGACACCATTAAGCTAGCCTGCGGTATTCCTTTAAGCGTCTCGACGCACCATAGCGTGCTTACCCTGGTCGACCGACGAGCGTCGAGAAGCACGGCTGCAGCCGACTGGCTGGCAGGCCGAGGTCCTGGCAAATGCAATTTAATGGACTATGCACATGGCGGTTTCAGTGGGGTTAGTGGTGATCGCGAAATTTATCCTTCGTCCGCATAAGACATACGGCGCGTTGCGAACGTCGAAAGGAGCTCATCGTTTTTCTTCGATTCCCACTCACTTCACTCGCCGCTTGGTTCTTGCTGCTCGTTGCAGCGGGAGATGGCGGACTGCGGGATGGGCTGCGGAGAAGACAAGAGGGCCGAAATGTTGGAGGTGAGTTTGTCATAGACTACTTATGCTTCGAGTCGACTACAAGCCAAAAGTATCGCCAGCAGAAGTCGTCTCCTCCACTGTCGTGCTCGGTCTTGTTGGCCGCTTGCCCCGTCGTAGTCGTCGTTCCGTTTATTGTTGTGGCGTCTTGATGGGTTGCGATACCCGCGACACGGTTCTGGGGTATCGTGGTCGAGAGCTAACGGTCTTCCACCTGACAGTCCTCGTTGCCCCCCCCCCGCGCGCTGAACAAGGCAATGGAGGCTCTTCTGGCCACTGAGGAGGGAAACCTCGTGCTGGGGGATGACCTAGGTACCGGCTTGATCAACACACTCGCGGGGGAATGGCGCCTTCTTTATACCTCCAGCAATGCGATGGAGTACAACCAGGTACGTGTACAGAGCCGCCAACTGAGGCATTTGATGTACAAAGCGGGTGTTGTCACATCCCCACTAGACTAAAGCGTTTGTGTACCGTTTTTCTCGACGCAGATGCCTTCTCCCTTCCTGCGGGGGACACCATTATATCCCGAGCAATAACACCGCGTATGAAAACCTGATATTGCCGCTGTCGTTTCACGAGCCCCGAGTGCATCAAACGTGCACAGCTCATGCGAGCCCCACTCGCTGTACTTCCCATTCTATCGCGTGTTCGTGCAGGGATTGACGGGGCTGGCGAACACGATCCCCAATGCCAAGTTCCAAGGGCTGAGGCAGATCCTGCATGCTGACGGCATGGTGTTCGACGCAGAATATGAGGTACCGTTGCAGGAGTGGGGGAGGTTGAGACAAAGCCTGTGTGTAGAAAATACGCATCCGACGTGTGCTCGATGTTGAGCTTGAGCGAAGCGAATACGGGTTCGAGGTTGCTCAACGCACCTAGAGATTCTCCTGCACTGGGATAATTGTATCTTGTTACTCTCGACGGCTTCACGTAACACAGGCCTTGGAATTGGAGGAGGAATATCTACGGCATTGCAGGGGCCTGGTAGAGTCCCCAACTTTATGAGCCGTGTCCTGTACGTGCCAGACCTTGAACCTGTTGTCTTCGCCTGGCGCCTGGATGATTGCCTCGCATGCAGGAGGAGCTCGTGACTGGTGGTGATTCAGAGCCACTAATTATCACGGTCACTTCTGACTGGGAGGTGAAGCAGACGTCTTCCCTCGTCACAGGTAAGGAGGAGCACCTCCACCGATTGGACACGGCACGGCGCTGCGGTAATCGCACAACCAGAAATGTTGGCAGGAAATCCGAATAGGACAACCTCACGCCTTCTGCAGAGACGGGAAGAGAGATGTGCTTGCTAGCGGCGCCTTTCATTCGCTGAAACTGTGAAATATCTGGGTTAAATGGAGGCACCCAATGGCAAACACTCGATGGCCAAGGCCATCGAGTGCCCTACCGCATCAAGCATTTTGATGTTGGCAAAACCTCACCCGTCAGACCTCGTGCAGCCGCAAGCAGCGACTTCTGCGGCGTGAGATGGAGGTTGTTTCTTGTGGCGTTTTGCCCCCAGAAACGCTTGCACGATATCCACACCTTCATGTACACCCCGCTGTCCACACCTTTTTTCCCTTTCCTCTCTACTTCACCAGGCAAATCCAGCGTCGCCATTTCCGTAGCCCCGAAGCAGATCAAGTACGGCTTCATCACCGTACGGTCGGAGAGGTGGAAGACGCTGAGGGCGATGATGCTTCTCGACATCGCCTATCTTGATGCAAATCTCAGGTATGATGCCGCTCCACCTCTCCAATAGGCACGCAATCGTTCCGCCCCGTGTCCTGTTGGTTCAATGATGAAAATTGGGCCGTTGCCTGGGACGTGTTTATGTTTGTTCCGAAGCTCTGTAGGTGCGTGTGTTTCAAGGTTTCAGGCCGCATCCAAGGACCCATCCATCCCATCCTATGCCATTCCATCCCAGCCCCAGCCCGTGTTTTCTTTGCGCTTCCTCCCTCCTTGAATTTTAGGACACACCTCTGCGGATCGGTAGGAATGTAGGAATACATAGCTTTGCGAAATCATCAGCATGTTTCTATTCCTAGAGGAGATAGCTGAACTGAGGTTCCCAAGAGCGGTGCCCCGGCTCGGAGAGTCACATAATGATGTACGCCACCTCCTCTTTGCCCGCCTCGCTGTCACCCTTCGATGCTCTCCCCCGTTGCCCCAACAGGATCATGCGAGGCCAAACAGCGCGACAAAACTTCTTCGTTTTCGTGAGGGTTTAAAGGAGCGAATGGAGATGAAGACAAGGGTCCACGGCAACTTCGGAAGTCGACGCCTCCGGATCGATCATCGGTGCATAGTGAAATATGCGAAATTTGGGGAAGGAGGTGTCACTGAGATCCCTAGGTGGCCACATGGCGCACTAGAATGCTGTTGCTGAAGGTTTTGTTGTATCGAATAGAGAGAGGTAGCAAGCATCCCCGATATAGCCTACCAACAGGTATGACGATGGAGCCATGCGCGAAGACACTGGTTGTCTGTTCCAAGGCTCGTGTGAAATGTGCGTGCCCAATTTTGGCTGAAAGGGGAGCATGTCGAACTGAAATTGTTTCTGAACTCCACCTGAGCTCGATGACAGCCGTCGTTGGTACTGTGAAACGGCGGTTTGGCGTCACCGACGTGTTTGTCTTGCTCCTAGTAAACGTTGGAGCAGTCCACAACTTTTGGCACCGTAAGGCCATTTCTTACGGTTCTTTTTTGGAGCTGTATTTTTCTTTTTTCCTTCTCAAAAAAAGACAACTGGCCACAGAACCCCTTCTTACGGTGTCTTTTTTCAGGGAAAAAAGACCAACAAAAAAAGACAACCCGTTTTGGACAGCCCATCCTGTCTTTTTCTGGGGAAGTTTGGATAAGTCGGGGCTGTCTTCTTCTGTGTATTTTTTTTTGTCACAACCACATGACGCTACCTACAAACTTTAACGGTGTTCACACGAGCTCTGTCATGTGACTGGTGCAGAGTCAGTAGCATCAGCGGTAGCGTTGTTTTTTCATTCGGCTGGACCAAGTGGACAAACCGATGTGTGCGGCGCAAACAAGCGGCAAACGAGCCGAGAGCGTCTGGACGCAGCAGCGGGGGGTCTTTGTTGGTGTGCTGTCAACTTTTGCGAACCCAACTTTTGGGCGCCCTATCTCCTCCTGATCTGTGTCAACCACCACACAAGAGGGACCATACGCGCAGCTCATGGCTGATTCATCGCTGTTGCTGGAGTGGGTAGCGAGGCAGCATCAATGAACCAAAGTTACGACACGGGCGAAAGAGCAAAAAAAAATTGCTTGAAGACGAGACGGGTCATTTTTCCCGCTTGTTCACGACTCTTGCGCTCACAATTTTTGAGCGCCCTTCAGCCTCCTGGTCTGTATCAACCACCACACAAGGCGGACCATACACACAGCTCATGGCGGATGCGTTTGTCATCGCTGGTGCTGGAGTGGGTGGCAAGGGAGCATCGATAAACCAAAGTTGCGACACAGGCCAGAGAGCGAAAAAAAACTGGTTGCTGGCGCGGTGGGCATTTTTCCGGCGTGCTGTTGACCCTCGCCACCTCAGTTTCCGTGCCTCCAATCGCCCTGTGGTCTCTAACAGCCACCACCCAAGACGGACCATACACACAGCTCATGGCGGATGCCTTTGTCATCGCTGTTGCTTCACTGTATGCGGAGATATCACCGAAACACCATAGCGGAGGAAGGTGTATGTATGTATGTGTAACGAACGATCGTTACAGGGACTCTTTTTTTTGTAGGTCGATGATTCGGAATAGAGAAAAGGATGGACCAGCACCGCAAGAAAGGGATCATCTTTTTTGCAGATCATTTTTTGGGTCGTCTCTTTTGGGGAAAAAAATATCTAACAAAAAAGACACCGTAACAAATGGCCCAAGAAATGGCCTAATATTTTTTTGCTTCTTTTTGCTTTATTGTTGTCCAGTCTATGGTTACTACCTCGCATAGATAGCGTATATTGAATGAAGCGAGCGGAGGGTCCTAGACTAATTTGTCGTTGACTTGCGGACCGTTCTTCGGGTCCATTTTATTTTTGTATGGTAAGTTTTTTGGGTAAGTTAGCCTGTGACCACGGCGGGAATCGACCGCGTCACGTGTCAGACTATCATCGTACATAAATAATTTTATAGTACGGACAGACGAAGAAGAAGAACAGAACGAACGGTTTTTTTGTGATTCATTGTGAAGACAACAACAACGGAACTGCTGGGTTCGTCCATGGATAGTTATTGCAGCACATGAAGTAGTAGTATATAAAACGATTTCTTCATGGATGGGTATAATGAGCTCGGGGCCAGTTTGTTTGAGCGTACCTTTTTAGGGTAAGTTGGCCTGTGATCACGGGGGGGGGAATCGACCGCGTCAAGTGTTGGATCAGTACGGACATATGAAGGTACTGGGTAGAGAGAGAGATCGGAACGAACGGTTTTTTAATGTGAAGACAACAACAACAACAACAATGAGAGGTTTCAATTCAACTACTATCTATCTATATATATACTACTGTGTACTACAATAACGTACTAGAGTATGGAGGGTACTCCTTGTTCTTATGCATGGCATGTATCGCACCATTATCAATATTCACAGCTAATAACGTTAGTAGTCCACGACGACGAGGATGTCAAACGATAGATAGATAGATTTGTTTCGGAAAGCTACCGGTCGGTGCCAACGCCGCCCGGCCACGCTTTCTGCTGTGGAGTATAATTGAGCTTTGAAAATAAAAAAATGTTCAGGGTGTGTGATATCTTAGACTACAGGTGGCGCCCGCACTTAAGAACCGCTTATATTGGCCAAGGCTCGATGCTTATTGGCTGCCTCAAATTAAGCGCCTGTTCTTATTTTCAAAGTTCTTATTTCGAGCAAGCATATATCCGTATGAAACACGGGGTTCTTGTTCTTACTTCTACGCCGAGGGCCCCATTCGGAGGACTTTTTTCTTTCCTGGGAGGATTCAGCCTGACACTTGAAAGCAGCGTGTTCATAAAACAGACTGTAATGATAGAACGTCGCTCAACAGAGACCTCTGGAATATCGACGTACCGCAGATCACGATAGGGTAGAGAGAGTTAAACACAGACAGACGAGGTATCGCCTGAAAAAATGACGCATCGGAGCAAACACGATGAATCATTTAGTTAGTTAGATGTCCACAAGGGTCACGTTCGGCGTGATTGCCCTCCCCACTCTATCTAACGCCCGTCGTAGCTATATTGCGACCTTTTACCCTGCTCTTCGAATGCCGGACCACCTCCCTTCTCTACGGCGCACTCCCCTCAAGCAAAGCCCACCACCCTTACCACCCCACCCGCATCTTCACTGTGCTTGTCCAACGGCGTTCGTTCATGCGGCGCGTCTTTTGGTCTATATGTAGCTTGAAATGCACACGGTAGTCGTAAAGGTGGCGGGTACGCTCCTGAGACGGCCGCAGCCCATGCTCAGTTTTACGAGTGCTCCACATGCAGCAACGAACTGTCAAGAGCAGCGGGCTTAGACGCTTGAATTTGAAAACTGGTGGTTGCGACGAAGAAAGAGGTGTCGGAAAGCTTTCGTCGCCCCCGCGCCGACTCGATGGCCTCCCAGTCTGACTTCTTCGTGGGTTTGATGGCCTCCAAGTGTCGACCAAGAATTACAACTCCTCAACTATTTGGCAGCTGGCCGAGCTTTTTCAATACTTCAAGGGTTAAAGATATGGCTCTCGTGCATGGCACGCAGCGTGGCAGGCACTCCAATGACACGCGACGAGGGGCATGCCTTGTACAACAGAGCTAAGCCCCTACCCCCCCCCCCCCCTCCGCACCGACCAAGGCAAAATGTGAACGCGGCTCCGAGTGCGAACACCGGGTTCATGTAGTTGCGGAATGTCTGTTGTACAAGGAGAGGAGATTTTATGTGACCGAGCATTGGGGAAAGTATAAGGAAGATGCAGGGAGATGTTCGGGGCGGAATACCAGCTAGGTAGCTGTACTGGGGCATAGCACGTGGGTTGAAGAGGCGGGACGTAATATCGATAGGATAGATAGGCTAGGGACAATATTTGTGAGACACCTTTTTTTGGTAAAGTAGGAGGGAACGATTGGCCATCGGTATTATATGTTCCTGCGGGAACAACACTCCGTCCTCTCGAGGACGCGTGGTCAATGGTCTAACCACTAAGATATGCAAAACGAACATAAGAGTACGCCCCGCCCCCCCCCCCTTCCACACCAGTATTATTTGAAACGGAGATAACCCCCCTCCTCGTCGCTGATCTGAACCTACCTGCCGGTGGGTGGGGTCACCGGACACCCCGTGAGTCATCCCTCACCACCTTCATGAGTTCTTCTCTTCTTGCAGCTGCCACGTTTTTGGGGGTCTGTTCTTATCCGAAGGCTCTTACTTTGTGAAACCACAAAATACGGGTTCTTGTTCTTAATACCACGTCGGAACTGAGCACGCACGCACCACGTGTTCTTACTGCTAAGTTCTTAAATTTTGAATTTTTCGAGGCTGCATTTCTTAACTGCTAAGTTCTTAAGTGCGAGCGCCATCTGTCTGTATGCCATCTACGAATGAATGGGTAGTCTTTCTGTCTGTACTGTGTGTGTATTTATTTTTCCTTAGTTACTCTGTGTACAGAAGAACTCTTCTTGTCGTGTTCGGTGGGCGAGCGTGTCGCGGTGTGCGCCCTCCACTTTATTAACCGCTAAAAAACTGGAAAGCTTCTCAGACAGGCAACGTGACGATACTCACTCGTGGAGTTGCTATCACAATGTACGTACCCTGGCACCCAGAATTAATAGTAGGGCAATTGACAAACTAAGTGGGGGTATAAATAAGTACATCGAGGTGTATATATATCTAAAAAATTGGACGAAAACAACAACAACAACAATCAGAATCTTCTTACACCATATATTTATATACCGCCCTTCCTTCCTTCCAGCTGGCTGGGCGGTACCTGTCTGTCTGGAGCTCGGACCACCCACCACCATGTGGTGATTTCGGGGGCGAATCTCCCTCGTGCGACTCAATGTACTTACTACAATGCAGTCAAAGTCTAACAAGCAAGGTGAAGCTGCAGTCAGTGCGCAACTCGAACAACAACACATACAATACATAGATAGATAGATAGATAGATAGATAGATAGATAGATAGATACATGTAGTAGGTGGATGGAACAAATACGATCGAATCGGTCATCATTTTGCTGTGTTGCCCACCGCACATACATACATACAACATACATACATACATACATGGCAACATGCAATTAATTTATCACCTCAAGCTACGTGAAGGATGCGCAAATAAATATTAATAAATACTACATACATGTTGTTACAATACACCACTCACTCTAAGATCTTCTCTTCTCTATTTATCCGAACCTACCTGTCTGTGCTCCTTTTCTCTCTCGTCGCTATGTTATTGTAGTCAGTCAACCCTGGATGGATGTTATTGATCCATGGATGGATGCTTCGATAGATAACTAGTCTACATAATAATAACATACAGCAGTTCTAAAACGCTCGCCGGGGTCTGCACGAAGCACGACTTCGTCGGCCATTTTCATGTTAGAGGGAACTACTTCTTGTGGTTGGTTGTGATGCAAACTGAAATAAATGTAGCTGCAGTGGGCAACACATAGATAGATAGATAGGTAGATAGATGGATAGATACAAATAATTAATTGTAGGTGGATGGAACAAACAAACACGATCGATCGAATCCGTCATCATTTTGCTGTTGTAATGGTATTTGACCCCCTCCTTCATCACCTTTCTTTGAGCTGTCTGTCTGTGTGGAACTCTCTTTCTTGTCCGACCACAGTTAAGTTGTAGTAGTTAGTGTAGTAGTAGCAGGTTGTTGTTGCTTTCCGTTGTTCTCTTGATTATTAACGCTTTCCAAGCCAACTCACAATAATATCCCGCGCACACACGAACGATCATAGATCGACTGTACGCACACACGCACACACACACTGAACACAAGGAAGGGCACATGTCTCAGCATAAAGCCCTGATCTAGCATGACGTCACGTCTTAGCATCCGACGGCGCCAAATAACCATGATCAACCACGATCGATCACATACATATATACATAAATACATACAATACATACATGTCGTCAATGTATAATAATGTCTACCTCCAAATACCATAACACTGTGAGTGTTGCCCACCGCACATACATGGCAACATGCAATTAATTTATCACCTCAAGTTACGTAAGGGATGCGCAAATACACCCTTCACTCTCGTCGCTATTTATCCGAACTTACTTGTGCTCCTTTCTTTTCTCTCTCGTCGCTAATATTGTAGTCTAACCCTGGATATTATTGATCCATGAGTGAGTGCTTCAATAGATAAATAATAACTAGTCTACTAACAACCTAGAGCAGTCTCTACGCTCGCCGGGGTCTGCACGAAGAACGACTTCGTCGGCCATTTTCATGTTTAGAGGGATCTTGTGGTTGGTTGTGATGTTTCAAACTGAAGGTCGCGGCCTGTGCATGCATGTGTATGGCCTGTTTAGCTGTTTAGTCGGAGAGTAGTTGGTGTCCGGTAGCGTTAGGGTCTCCAGGCACATACCGGCACATATAGGCGAAGGCTCCCCACGTACTACGTATACGGAAAATCTTATCCACGCCTCCCCCGTAGTGCGTCACAGATCCAGATTTGCTTGATCAAGAAAACACCGCCCACCACCAACCACATCGCCCATCGCACACCGCATGTTATCTACCCCGTCGCGACTGCCAGTGCCCTCTCCCCTCGTCAAGTACAACCCGTCTCCTCCATCACTACGGGCAACACACCTCAATCATGAAAGCTGCAGCTGCTCTGAGCATCCTTTGCTGTGCATCTCCCACGGATGCATTTGCCATGGTGACGTCCTTGCCGAAGCCGGCCGTTGCAGGCGCCGCGAAAGCGCCCCCCGTGTTCAAGAAAGACTTCACGCTGCCCATGGGCATCCCCGAGGAGAGCATTGCCGGAGTCGTCGACGTGCTGCGTTCGGGGCGAATCAACAGGTACAGCGCATCGAGCGCCGAGGCATCACAGGTCGCCCAACTTGAACAAGAGCTCGTCGACTTCACGGGGAGAGGAGAGGGGCCAGGCGTCAAATACGCCCTTGGGGTCAACTCTTGCTCTTCGGCGATCCTGATTGCTCTACTGTCTGTAGGGGTCAAGTCCGGAGACGAGGTGCTCTCCAACGCCTTTACCTTCACCGCCGTCCCTTCTGCGATCCTCCGGATCGGTGGCAAGCCTGTCTTGGTAGAGTGCGAGAACAGGTGAGTGAGCTGTTGGATCCGCATGTGCAGGTTACGATCTCTTGCAGTCACATTCCGTCGGATAGTTGACAGCCAGTGGCTGGCTTTCCCTTTCTTCAGACGCAATCAAACCGACGCCTCAAGCCTTGCTTGCGTTGCTATAACCGACCCTGAGGGGTGTTGGTGAGGTTTCTTGATGGCGTGGCAAACGCATGGTAACCGCGATTTGTTTCTGCGGTGAGGCGAGAATGCGAACGAACGGCTTCCAGGCGCGTGTAGTTCAGTTTTTTTTTTTTTTCCCAACATCATGAACACGCTGCTTGCATCTATCTCCGGTGCGTGCTCACGATCGAAACTCACCCCGCGCCCCTCTGCTCGGCTCTATCGCGTAGACTTGCGTGATTGATCTCCGTACAGTTCTTGATCGCGTGAGGAAATGAGATTTATTTCGTCGAGCGGGACGAATGGGTCACGCCGAGCACCATCAAATTTGAGTTCCTACTGCGTGTTCGGTTGATGAAGGAACACATGAGTCAATACATGCCGCCCACACTCGTTTTCATAGAGATGTTGAGCGCCTCCCCATCGAGAATCAAATACATGGCACGCGCCAAACGTTAACTCACGCGCCCCTCCCCCCCCACCCGATGATAATACTGGGTAATGTATGCCCCCGCCCTCCCATGTATGGCCTTGAAACGAAGAAGGGGCGATGCAAAGATGCAAAGTAGGCATCGCTGGTATGTCTCCGTGTATATCCGTCTTGCACGCACGTAGTCTTGCGTTTTTTTTTTGTGTGACGTACCATGAACAACGCACCACACACTTCACACCGCTTCTGTCAATCTTCAACACACGCTGAGAAGCGGTGGACGCTGATTTGTGCGCAGGAATCGCGCTCACACCTACCAGCGTACGTTCAGCTTCCTGCGATTGTTTTCCTGTCACAACACAAGCTGATCTGAAAGTCTGCAGGAACTTTCAGCTCTTCGGGCGAGCACTTGTTCATACCTCAACTTGCGATGTTCGGCAGCATGCAGCATGCGGCATCATGCAACATGCAACCCCCCACGCACGATAGGCTGCGTAACACTGCGTAACACCGAGGACGCGGTGACTTCAACACGTGCAAATCTTTTAGAAAATGTTAACACAAATATGACCGAAGAAAGACTAGACTACCCTCGTTGACCCCACCAAATGGTTGGACCCACACGCCCGCGAAATTTCGAGCCTCCAACAGTTCCAATCTCTCGGGGCTGGTCATTCTTATCATGAAGGAATAATAAAAACACACACTTGTCATGTTCGTTTCCATTTTTTTTTGTCATCAATATATGACCCAACGTCGTGGAAATGTGCGTAGAAACGTTCAACTCTCGCATTTATATCCAGGTCTTGCAACCATTTACTTACTTCCGTGATACATTCCCCCTTCCCTCAAACCAAAAGACAGGGAGGATCCTACAGCAGTTGGAGCTACACTACAACATACCTACTGCTGTAGAAGTAAGAGTAGGAAAGATGCTTTGAAATTTGTTCCGTGCCAAAAGTTCGAAACCCGGGTTGGGTGGGTGTTCGATGCACCCCTCGTTCGATGTTTGAACACGAAAGTACGGAAGGTGATGAAAATGAAACGAGAACACTCCGTTTTTTTGTTTTTTTCTCGATATGACACGACGACTCCGTATAGACTAAATATATTTTTTCTTCGTCATTACCCAAGTATTTGTAACCGTATTATGCAGTAAGTTGCATCTTGTGACGTGCGGATTTTTTTGGTTTGGGCTTCACTTCGAAGTCAGTTCTCACAGCATTTGTGCCGTTTTCTCCAACCCGTAGTCACACAGAAGGGTTCCTGATGCCCCGTACCCAAACCCTTGTGCGTTGCTTTGCCTTCGATTTTGATGTCGCTGTAAATGTTCAATGCATACAACACATCATGCCGGACCCACGTTGGTAAGTTTTGCTGTTTTTTTACAGTTGCCTCGCAGATAGGCTGGGGCGTCTGTTGCATGTGCGTTGTACGCCCCATCTTTCAGCAAAGCACTTGCTCACAGAATCGCACACTGCTCATACAACCTAGCTCTGTGCCTGCAATGGGTTCTCTCGCGATGTGATTGCGTTGGTTCATGGGCAATAAACAAGAAAATTTTGCTTCCGTGGTGCGTGCGTGTTTCTGTCGGTCTGTCGGTCTTGTCGTCTAATCTGTGAACAGATTAACCGCTACTGGAAAGCAGAAAAGTCTCACGGCGGCATCCATGATAGGAGCACAGTAAATTTGTTTTAAACACTGCCTGTCCGTCAAGTACTGCAGTAGGCCAATGAAAGAATGCCCACCCGAGATGAGGCTCAAGGCTCAGGGTGTTTGTTAACAGCCTTTTTAGAAAGTACACATAATCTCACAGAAAGACCACCCGTTCGAGACAATACCACAGTCGAAGGGGATGTGCTGAAGTCTCTACAGTGAGTGGGAAGAAACCGGCTGGATACTGGGCTTATTTAGAGTCTGTTTAAGCCTATACACTGAAATTTTATCAGTGATGCCAGCAATTGCTAGTCACAAAAACACTGTGTAGGTACAAATATCACAAGACATGCTGTGACATTCCTCATAGGAACACGTCGCATTGTCTCTTGACAATTTGCTGGAACAGTTTATGAAGCTTTGATATCTACAGCAGTAGCTCCGGCCTGAAGGCGCCACCCCCCGCACCCGTTCCCTGAGTGCCATGGAATTTTCCTCTCCGACCTCTTATCTAGGATGTGATCGGTCACCGACAATAATCCTAGGAAGAAAACCTCCGTTACGCTATATGCTGGCACGCTTGCCCCACAGGAACACCTGCGGGTCCACGTTCACTTGATGGATTTATCCCCGTACCCTTGCTTTGTCACATTTTAGCTGGGGCATGGACCTGGATGATCTTGAGAAGAAGGCAGCCAGCAGCACGGCCAAGGTGCTTCTTCTGAGCCACATGCGAAGCAAGGCGAGTATTGATCATCATTTGTGTGTGCATCTATGCTATTAGACCAAAGATCTTTTCGTCTCTACCCCTCAAGTTCGCTTGTTGTCATTCATGGGTGCGCACGCGCGGAGACAGAGCGTTTGTTTCCTGGTGTTGTTCATGTAGTAATGCCCTCTCGGCATATGTTAGTCTAGATAGAAGTGAAATCGACACATGCATAGGTCTGTGGTCAACATCATTTTGGAGATATTTATGCATACGAAATGATAGGCTCATGCTTGATGTTGTTGGCCGATTTTTGTATGACACGCACGCATATGGTATGCGGATGTGATATGACAAGATTTGAAGCAATTAACCGAAGCTTGGTGGCGACTGGTGCTATCGGCGTTGCTTGATGGGTATGTGTCTACTTGCAACACAGATGTGCGACATGGACCGTTTGTACGAGATCTGCGACAAGCACGGCCTCACCGTCGTAGAGGACTGCGCCCACGCCCTGGGCGTTAACTGGCGCGGCACCCAGCTTGGAAACCGCGCAAAGGTTCGATTCACCCAGCTTCAGTTCCGGAGTTTTGTGAAAAGACAGGATTGTCCTCGACAGTGGTTGGGAAGGTGTTACATGTTTTTTAAGGTTTTCTCCACAGCAGCTTTGTCAAGAAACACGATAACTGATCTGCACAGGCCAGTATCGTTTTGAGTTGTGGCGTTCAGGTGTGTTGTTGTTTGATCCTTGCTCATCTTTGCCAAGCGAGGTGCACGCAAGCGAGTTTTTGATGGAATACGACGATCGAAGTGCGAATGAGCAAGAGGCAGCGCCGCGGACCATTCAACTTTCTCGTGTCAGGCACACTCCCGCCGCATCTATATGTGGTTTTGTTCCAAGGGCAAACACCTGCTGCTGTGACATGAGCATGAGCGGTAGATCCCAGGTGGAGGGAGCCCTTACGGCGAGTGACTTTTCGCTACGGTATGAACCGTTCAGAACTGATCGTGTTCCGACCATGTTGTTGCTATTTTGCCGATCTTCGTGGCAGGTTGCCGCGTACTCGTGCCAGTCGGACAAGCTCATCAACTCCGGCGAGGGCGGGTTCCTCACCACCAACGACGAAGAACTCTTCTCCAAGGCGATCTACATGTCCGGGTGTTATGAAATGCGTTACGGTGAGGAGGAGGAAAACGATAAGGACGCTGTATGGTGCGGTGCAGAGCCTCGCACGATGTGTTTTTAGGTGCAGCAATCTGTCGAGATGCCTGGGAGGGGATACGGTAGTATTCGCGCAACCCCCGACGGGCCGATATTGCCTGGAACCGTGCACAGGCTCTTCTGCTTTTGGGGAAGTCTTGGTGGTTTTGTTGGTTGCCGTGCCAACTACGACCGTCATCCGAGAAAGAGCGACGTGCGCAATAGCCTATAGGTTTGCGCATCTCATGACCACTATTGTAGTGGCGAAGTAGATGTACTCGATCAAGCCCGCCAGGTGTGTGCTTCAGGTAGGCATACTTCGCCTGTTGGGATATCGATATTGACAAGCATCAGGCATGGACGACCTTTTGCCAAAGCGGTCCACATTCACCCGTGTGCCCACACCAAGCTGTTTGTCTTGCGCTTCTTTTTGCATGTTGTCAAGAGAGCGTTGTTGGTCTGTATGTCTGTACCTCGTCCATGATTGGTCAGGATGGGCAGGTTTTGCATGGACACGGCACACGTCTGGTGCTTCCGACTTGTCTGATCGGCACACTTAACGTGGCACCTGCGTGGATAAATGAGGCATGTCTGTAATCTAACACGCATGCGCTTACTGGGTTTGTCTCGTTGCAGGCAAGCACTCCGTGCGTGGATCCGACGAGCTCATGGAGAAGGCCATGCTCTCAGAGCGGAACCTCAGCGTCCGCATGACCGAGATGACCGCGGCTGTTATCAGGCCCCTGCTCGCCAACCTCCCCGAGAGGGTGGCACAGTTCCACCGCCGCTACCAAGAGGTGTGATCCAAGTGAAGAGATGGCACGGTACAATGGAGAGAAAAAGCGAGATAGAGAAGAGGCGTAATAGGGAGTCAGATGCTGAGGTATCTTGCACTTTTAGATATCTGAGCCTCATACTTATAAACCCTCTGTACGGTGCTGTCAAGAACTGAACATGGTGGTGTTCGCTATTGTCGGTTTTTGTTCTCTCGCCTCACGTTTTATGTTTTTCTGTGTGTCGGTGTCAAGGTGGTTGGCATCCTCGAGGAGCAAGTCCCGGACCTTATTGAGGTGCCCAAGCCGCTTGAGCACGCCAGCGTCGTCGGCGACCACCTGAACTTCCACCTCGTCGACCCCACGGAAGAAGAGAACAAAGCCTTCCAGGTGCATATCGTCGTCTTGATATCTGGCGTGTGGGGGGTTCTGAGTACAGTAGTGGTCCCGGTATAATGATGGTTGATTCTAGCCGGTGAAATCGCGCGACGCAGATGGAATGGTCAAGTTGTTTAATACTCTGAATTTTTGCCTTGCCCGCTATAATGCCAGTTCAAGGGGTTGGCACCTTCAATACGGCATTATACAGGGACCACTACCGCTGTATTGCGTCGTATCGGTTGCCCTGGAGGGCGTTATCTGTAATTGAGGCGTAGACGGTGCGAGCATGTGCTTTGCAGAGAACCCATCTCGACTGCCGGTTGGAATGCGGTTCCACCAGAACGGGCCGGAATGAGTATGGTCCCAGGTGCTGTGGAGGCGATCGTTGGCATCCTCGGCCTATCCCACCTCCTCTCAAGTACCGGCCAAGCCCACGAATACAACTCGTTTCATGCGAGGAACAGCGAAACGCACTGCTACTGCTGTAGTCTTCAAGAACCTCCCCCCCCTCTTTTCCAGCTAAAAGCTGTGATGGCAACGTTTCCTTCCCCACAAAAACTCCGGTTGTTGGTTTACCCCTCCCCTCCCCCTCCGTGCTTGAGCAGGCCAAGACCAAGGAGATGGGTGTGCCCCTCAACTGGCTGCGCTCTCCCGTGAACGCTCGCTATCACGTCAACTGGCGCGGATACGGAGGCCCCGTGCAGGACCTTCCGGCCACCGACGCCGCCCTCGCCACCGCCTACGACCTCAAGCTTCCCCCGCACTTCGACGACGAGGACTTCGCGCACCTCGCCAAGATCATCGCCTACGCGGCTCGGGTGACTGTGCGCGCGGGCGGAGAGGAGTGAAAGACATAACAGTCCATGCCAAAAGTGGGCAGAAGACATGGCGCTTTCCCACCACCCCGCCTACCGTCTCAGGGATAGCGGAACCATTTCTTGTCTTTCCCATACTCTCGTTCGGTATGTATACCCCCGTAAGTAGCAGTTAAAATGTAGGTTGGCTTTCCTTACATTGTGACGCTATTCAATGTCTAATTTCGGACCGGAAATGTACAACTTGGCGTTTCATGTCAAGGGGAATACAAGGCATGTCGGAAGAGCGACAGTGACAGCGACAGCGACGTTTGCTTCGGTACAATTTTGACAACGGAGGTATCAAGTTGATCTTGGTGCGATTGGATTTTGACGTACAGCAGTGGTGTGCCTTGTATTGGAAACGATACGACTAAAATCGATGGCGGCTAGAAGCGACTTGCGTAGAAAGGTCCTTTCGACTATAATATAATACAATACTACGAGTGTTGGGGTTGTCCGGCATTTAGAAAACGGGTTCGTTCGACTAGGAAGACAAGTCAAACAAGGTCGCAGGTGCGCCTTGCGACAGCAGTACAAGCAATAAAAGTTAAAAGTTAATCTATAGTGGCCGGCCAGGCCGTAGTCTTCATCTTGAGGTGGTTGGGAATAGCGCGAGCGTGATGTTCGCTTTCGATTGATCGTGTTTGGAGATGGCGAGTTGAATGCTCCATCTTCAGGGTCGTTTGTGCAGGCGATGGCGACGATATTTCGCATCCAAAGTGGTTGACAAAAGGGTCGTCCCCTGGAATTGTTTTCTCCACTGCTATTACGGGTTCGGTGAGTGTGGTTCTTCTCCAAAGGCTCAGTCTTCAGTTTGGGAATCGATTGGATACGATTAAAGTGTGCTTGCGTTGTACTTGGTCAGTCTTACAAGGTCTGGTTCGGGTGGGGGAGGTTGCATTTATGGTCGCGGCCAGCCCGCCAATTCATATTTGTCACGACCAACAAGTTTCACAGCAGCGTGTTGCACCAAGTTTGGATTTGTCCGATCGCACGCGTTCCTTGCGAGAAGGCGTTCTTGTGGGCGTCCTGTCGTGATTGTGCGGCTGTTCATGTGTTGGGAAGAAAAGTCTACGGGTTCACGGTGTGGAAGGGGTCGAATGACGGGTCGGGCTTGTGCGTGCTGGCGGCCCTCCGGCTCAAATCAACGAACGGGTATTGATGTCACGCCAGGGTCAGGTACCATCGTCAAACTCCACGGGTGTGACCCGCGACTTTGAAGGTTCTCGTTTTGGGTTCGCGTTGCAGAGATTTTGTACCCACGGCTGAGAACGGTACCGTGCACTTCTTTTGAGGCATGGACTTGAGACGTGAGAGTTGCAGCATTGATTGTTGGCGCGATGGAGATCATCGCGACTAAACTGTTCAGCGTGGGGGTGAGAGGCGGTAGAACACGCAGCCTAAGAGGCCTAGAATAAGCTTGTTGATCATAATTTGAGGTTTCTATGTTGTATTACAGTCGGTGGATATATTGTCCTGGGTGACGATAGAATAGATACGTGCTTGGCATTTGAGTAGCTATGTCGTCTACGCTAAATACGGTGCCAACGACGGAATGTAAGGGTGGGACGGACGTTTCGAGGCGATGATATGCATACAAATAACAATATCAGGCTGTCTTGCGCGAGATCGGGACAAGGGGTTTCGGTCGATGTGTAGTTTGCCTACTTGTTTGCGTGTGTGTTGTACTCTGTGGATACTTATCATGAGACAGTTGTTGAAGGAGTGCTTCCCTTGAAGAGGGACAAAAGAGGCGCTGCTCTTAGCTCAACGGCGTAATAAAGCAAGGATGGATGAGATTATTTTCGTTTCTGTTGTCAACGAATCTATGCATACGACACCGTCATCCCCGTAGTCACTCACTCGTGTTTTACCCGGGCTTTCGGGCTGCTGAGAGTCGGCCCTAAGTTGTTTGTACAAGGCCTCATCTCGGGTTTGTTCTACGCGAACCACTAGACGGCTAGTCTACACCGCGACACCGCTACCCGGCGGTACTTGAGTGGCAAGGCATGTTCCTAACATTGCGATGGAGATATATATGCGATGGCGTGGCTGCAACCTGCGCAAGGCCGGGTGTCGGTGCCGGTCGGACGCCTCGAGGTCGACTACATTTATTTCGGGACATCAACTGGTGCGGGGCCGTAGCGGCTTTCTCGCTATCCTGTTCCAGACGCATTGGTTGCCTGACTACTCCTTCATGGGAACGGGAGTCCGACCTCGATCAATTCCGTCGACACATCCTCTTGTACTGGTCCCGAGAGGTCTGCCAAAGCAAGCAGGGTAACCGTACATATAGAGTGGCTCGGACTCGAGCGGCACAGCGGGAGCTAGCCCGGAATCGTGGAGAACGTTATTTGCCTCCTGGGGCTGTCGGGTTATAAAAAAAAAGTCGCGACATGTACTTGGGATTGCCTTTCAACACCAGACTTCAGACAAATACTCCGCGGTACGCTGGGCCTATCTACCTATACTATATTACCTACTTCACGGGTGGAATGTTGTCATGTTATCTTGTTTCAGGGTACGGTGTTTGCGGACAGTTTCCGCCAGCGCAAGCCCCCCGCGCCACGCCTCCCCCCTAGCCTCGCACCACCCTCCCTCGGAGGGCGGTGGCGACGGGTGCACTCAAACCAGACTCGCCGCCGAATCCGAAAACCCACAGCTCCCGCTGGTTTGTATCTGCCCGACAGAAAGATCCCATGGCGACGGTCGCGGCGATTCCGTGCCCCGCCGCCTTCAAGCCACACATACATGTGAGATGACGACAATGAACTAACTGCACCCGTTGGCCGTTTGCGCCCATTGATTGGCAACAGGTCGAACGCCTGAGAGCTCTCCCTTTTTCTCTTGGTCACCAGCTATTTTACTCAATGCACTGCTGTGGCTCTCCGCACGATCTGGGCCCTCGAATCAAGCCAGAGAAGCAACTCCGTCTTGATCACAGTCAGCTCAGATTTGTACAAATCGTCCATTAATTTTGACGAATGCCACGACAGCTCCATTCTCCATTCGCCCCCCCCCCTTGGTGGTGTGATGCCAGAAGATCCACGCCATGAACGCTTGTGGCTCGTCCGACAGGTGGTCAATGAACCTGCCGACGTTCGTTTCTTCAAGCCACATGCTGTGAGGGCTTGCGGATGCGTTCGCATATGCTTGTTCGGATTTGCAATGCCGTCATAGATTAAGATTGGTGTGGGGACGGGGGTGGGGAGCGTGGTTCATTGGTGCTCGCAAAGGCTACGAAGTAATAGACTTTAGTGTTAATATTGTTCACCCTGATTTGGGAGGTAGCCTGTAAATAATACCAAGCAAGCATACAGCAAGCACCGAGTTGCGGTAGTTAACTACAACGGAAATAAGTGAATGTGCACTTGTTTCGATCTACCTGTGCGAGTAGAACAAAACGGAGACATGCATGCCTGTCTGTCACGGGAAAAGCGGGTCGAAAAGTGGACTCTACCGCCGCCTAAACTTCGAATAGCTCCCTTGTGCCCCTCGACGAACGCCCACTTTCCTCCAAACAGTTTGGTCTTCCAGTTCTGAAGACGTGAGTGGCCCCTCCTGCTCCTGCATCGGTGATTTTCTCGACAGTTGCCATCCAATGGCGAAGATGGGGTTTGTGGAGACGACACACGATCGCGAAGCGTCTTCGTCGGCGGGGCGGCCTGCTGACTGGCGTGGCTGACCTCCCTCTCACGCACACCCTCCTGCTACACCTGTCAGAAGCTCGATTGTTCCCCGAAATATCATCGGCAATCCATTTTACCCTGAAAAGAGGTTCACCACAGGGACGGACGTGGTACAGAAACAAGTTGAAGGTCAACATGCCTCCACCGGACCCCAAGTTCAAACACTGGAACGAATGTGGGTTTGGTTACAGCATCATGGTCCTTTCGTTTCACGACGACGATTTGCCAGTAACTGCGGGCGATAGGCAGTAAGCATGCATGCATGTGTTAGCCTCTCATCTTACCTGTCACTTTTAGTACACACGATATGTCACGATAGTTAGACTGCAGAGCATGGTGTTTGAGATGGCGTGTACAGCAGTGTACAGCTGTCGTAGACGGCCGTGCGGCACCCCACATACATTCAGTAGAGTCAGAAAATCAACGCATGAAAAACGCATGTTGTTGGTTGTTTTGTGTTGACTACAAGAGCAATTTTGTTATCCTTGCGGGGTGCATATAGACTGAAATATTACGGTGTGGCAAGGACCAAGCATTCCCTAGGACATGAACTTAGCAATACCGGGCTACGACATGTCTCGTATCACGGCATCACGGCTACTCTACGCGTTGGACGCTCGCGCTCTCCATGGATTTCCATGATACGCGGTTGGATACAGAGTGCGCAGTCCTCGTAAATGTATGCACAAACCAAGTTGCAATTTCTATGACCAAGTACAACGGATGAACGTGTCACGCTCCCGTAGCATTGGTGCGCACCTTCCTCGAAAAATGAAGGCCTTGACTCCCCTCCTCCACCTGTGGCTTGTCAAACATGTGCAACCCAGAGGATGCAGGATGCAGGATGCAGCAGCCGATTCCACCGCATTTTTTCTAGGTTTCAGGCGGGGATACGTTCCCGGTGGAAGCGTTTTTCATGAGGAGGAGGCGCTGCAGCTGGTTGTTTGTTCATGATGTGTTGTCCATTGCCCTCTCTCTCGCCTGTGGGTAAACATCACGCCATACCATAGGAGAACGGACCCTAGCCTTTCACTCACAGGTCGGTACGTAGTTTATGAGGTGTGAATTGTTGGTGTTACGGTTGCGACGGGCTGGGAGCGTTGAACGAAGAAACTTGTGGGTGTGCTTGGTTGTAGGAAGGAGGACTTCCGGCTTGCGCTCATGCGTTTGGCGACGGATACACACCTTTGGCGCGGATGCAAGGGTGCAAGGGTGCAGAGGGTGCTGGGTTGGGTGTCGGTGTGGTCAGGAGCGCGGGGAAATAGTTCTAAACTGTGCTACAAAGACCGTACATAAGCGCGGTAGCAACGTAAGTCTGGCCTGCCCGTCCTCTCCGCAGCGACAGACACGTGCAAGGCATGCACATCTTTGTGTCCGTAGGTTGAATGTCACACCTTGCGCTTTCGTGTTGTGTTTCAATCTCGCTCTCTCTCTTCCGACACCGGTGGCGACCTTATCCCCCTAGGATGCCGGTACTCAAGTCAACGGCGGCGGTCGCCACGGTGGTGCTGGCGGGGTCAACACAGGCGTTTGCGGTAGGTGTTTTGGCGCGCATGTTTCCGCTCTCGATTATTGTAGGCCAAGTGCAAAGGATAAGACACGAAACCCCCGGCATATCATCATACATAGCTCTACAGATTGTGGAAGAGACTCGCTTCTTGTACAGGGTTCTTCGGATAAGAAACACTGCTGTGGCGTGTTTAGAGCGCGATTTCGGAACATCTGCGGTGCTGCTGTTTCTGATTGTCCCCGCTTGTGATGCCCTAAAACAGCAGTCAGCAGTAGGATAACTTCTTAACATATCATCGAGTTGCGGGGGCTGTCTCTCCGCGGATTTTCACTACAAGCAGTAGATTGCCAAGAGGCAGGCAGCGCCGGCAGTCAGGGAGGCTGCAAATCTGTTGTCTGAAATAGAGCACACGCAGCACCTAATATACGCTGTCGGTATCACGATCAGTTAGTTGAAGGTCCGTATACGGTACACAACAGCACCAAACGATCGTCTGCAGGATACCTGACTGTGGTAACGTTGGCATATTACGTTTGCATATCGCACGTACATCATGATACGTGGAAAGGCCGAAAAATCATGCTACAGCAGTAGAAAGACGTCGTATCGAAATCAATAATATGCCAACACAACAAACACAAGACTTCCTCCCCCACACGCACTCAACACGGACGGCATCAGTTTATGGGCACGCCCGTCGTCCACGGAGGAGCAGCACACACCTCGAGAGCGGCTAGCAGCACTAGCTCCGGAGAATGCGGAGTTCGGATGGCGGGAGACGCGTTGTTGACGATTGGGACTAGGGGGTCTCCACTGGCGCTGGCGCAGGCGTACGAGACAAGAAAGCGTCTGGGGGAGCAGTTCGATGAATTGAAGGAGGAGGGGGCTGTCGCGATTCAGGTAGGGCAGTACTTGCGATGTGCTTGATGGCAAGCGCCCCCCTCCGTTGTTTGGGTTGACTTGTTGCTGCTCTGCTTCTGCCTCACTACTATCGTGTAGAAGTCGGCAAGAATGCGGCACTTTAAGAAGACGAGTGAAGGAGGATGAAGGCGGTCGTTGTCGACCGAGAGAGAGCGTTTGCGCAATTATGGTCATTTCCACATAGCGGTGGCTCACGCGTGTTGAGGAATTGGAGTAAGGACCTGCACTATTGTATAGTTCTTGGGTACAATCGATAGGTTCGGCGGGATCTGCAACTCCCTGGGATATAGCAGGGGACGATTCTTTATGGCCCCTCGATGGAGGTGGTGCCGCTTCCCCTTTGTGCTCAGTCTACCAAGGAGAGCAAAGCAACAGCAAGCGCTGCTGCTCCAAGAGATGTAAACCTGACGAGATGGACGTCGTCGCCTGGTGATGTTACCGGGGATGGCAGTGCCCTCTTGTTGCTTCGCCTGAAAAGCAACAAGCGATTTTGGCGTCGGTGTCGGAGAGACCGTCGCTACTCGAAGGTGGGTGGATTCGCACTTGGCGATGTTACCCTGGACAGCCATGGCCTCGTGTTGATCGGCATCGTCCTCGATCGTGTATGTACATGTGCTTGACACGATCGGCCCGAAAAGTACGCACCACAGCAGGAAGCGGCAGAGCAGGTAGGCTACCAATTCTGCCGCT